GGTTCAGCGTCACAGTTTGGTCTTTTGCTATTTCGAAGAGCATCCGCGTGATTTTTTTATTTTTTTTTTAAATTTTATTTTTTTCTCTTTTGCCCCCACACGTGTGTGTAGAGATGGGAAATTCCATTCCCTGCGTGTCGTATTTTCCACTAGCAGACTTAATTTCCTGTCAGAAAAGATTAATCAATTACCATCATTCTGCGTGCAAATCTTAACTTGTCTTGTGGAGGAGTGAAAAGGGGGGGTTTTTTTAATAGAAAATACAAGTTCATTTTGCAACTGCGTTCTTCCTGATGTAAAGTAGATGCCTATTTTGGGTTGCGGGTTTGGTTTGGTTTTTTTTTTGTACTGTCCCTCGAGCTGACAGATAATTGCAGGTGAAACCTTGAATGAAGCAAGCAGCTTGTTCTGGAGCAGTTTCAGTGTAAACAACTCTTAACTCTTTAACCTATCGTGAAAACTAACTGCCCCATTTTATTTTTTTTTTTTTCCCCAGCCTTTGCCCCTATTCCCTTTGGAGGGATTTATCTTCCCCTGGAAGTCCCAGCCAACAAATGCCATCGTTCTCCGTTGGTACTGGCTTACGACCAAGCCCATTTTTCTGCCCTGGTATCCATGGAGCAGAAAGAACCCACAAAAGATCAAGGTGGGTGATAAATAAGATTTATATCGATACAGGATCCAGAGTGACACCACGGAGGAGGATTTGGTGGGGGGGGACACGAGCGAGCGGGCAACGTGTGCTTCTAGCGGCTCGTGGGCTGCGTCGCCAGCAGGTCGAGGGAGGGGAATTCTGCCGGTTGTCCTCAAAATCGATGATGGGCGCTCGGAGCTTGGCTGCTAACGGGCGAGGTTTGTCCTTTCGGGTGTGAAAAGCGGGTTTTCTGTCCCTCGTGTAGCTGTGATCCCCCTGACGGACTCCGAACACAAGCTGCTCCCCGTGCACTTTGCCGTGGATCCCGGGAAGGAATGGCAGTGGGGAAAAGACGACAGCGACAACGTCAAGCTGGCCAGGTTGGTGAACCGGAGCCCGGAGGGTTCGTCGCTCTGTCCCCAGCTGGGGATTCCTTGTGTCTGGGTGAAAATTATACTCGGGGTATGAACGTGTTCGGTGGGGATGGAATGGTTTTTTTCTCTTACTTCCGATGCCCCGATTTCGGTACGTTTTGGCGTAGGATTGTGACATCTCCTCAGCTTCTTTCCCACAAGGTGAAGAGATGATTGCTCCAAATCCTAGAGCTTCAGACTAGGCGTAGCTCAGAAACGAGAAGTGACGGAAGACCGGCTGTTATATTCACACACACACACACACAAAAAAAAAGTTTCTTTTTCCAGCCTTCTGTCCCCGCTCGGAGATAAGGAAGATCTCGGAGCATGGGCCCCTGGAGCTGGGAGGATGACGCCTTGCAGTCAGACACCCTTCCTATTTTTGAGTCGGACTACGGGCGAGCCGTGGTTTGGTAGTGGCGAATTTCCTGTTATTGAGCCAGAAGCGAGCAGCGGTGGGCGGAGAGCTTGGTCGGAGAGCTGGAAGCACGACTGGGCCGTCAGCTGACTTCGCGTTAGGAAACCTAGAAACCTCCACGATCAAAGTATGAAAATTCAGTGGGGGATTTACCGATGCGCTGTCTCATTTTGAAGGGTTTGGAGCCAGCAGAAAAGACTCTGTCCTTGTGTTTTTAGTGGAAAGAATTCTTTTCTCTTTTTTTTTCTTTTTTTTTTTTTTTTGACAAGTGGAAATTTTTGCCAAAACATCTTTACTGTTTTCTGAAGTTGTTTTTGTGGAGAGAAGAATCATTTTGAAACTAGCTCTGTTTAGATCTGTCACATCTACTTTTTTGTTATTTGTCTCATGTCCAAGCAAGATTACTTGTCGAGTCTGTTTTAACTCGTAGCAAGCTTGATTTTGGCATTCAAGAATCTTATTTATTCATTTCGGGTCTAATGGAAAGGTTTGGAAGGCTACAAAAATGCTGCTTTTTTTCTGTGTCACCGCTGTCTCGATGCATTTACACCTGCTGTGTTAAAATTCGCTTTGTAACAGAAAGACAATGGGCAAATAACTGTAAATATGGAGGAGAAAACCTCAGTTATTAAAATGAAACTTGACTCTAATAACTTTTTTTTTTTTTTTTAATCCTTGTTTTGAATTTCAGCGTGACGTTATCACTGGAGGCAAAGCTGCACTTGCTGCACAGCTACATGAATGTTAAATGGATCACGTTGCCTTGTGACATGCAGGTAAAGAGACAAGGAGTATTTTCTTTACTCTTTAATTATTTAAACCCCCTTTCTGCAGGGCAGCAGGCGAGAAGCCGTCAGCCGGCTCGCTCTCCTTCACGTGAGGTTGTCCGCGCCTCCAGAAATGACGGCTAACGCTGCTCTGGGCAGAAAAACAACTTGGTTTTTGCGGTGCACTTTTTTCCTAGAGTTTTTCGTGCCTTTTTTTTTTTATACTCTTCACGCGAACTTACAGTGCAGCCCTTGTGCGCTCTTTTTTTTTTTTTTTTTTTTAAAAGAAGAGTCTCCAACCTTAAACATGAGCTGGTTTGGTCTGTCTGAAACTGTCGAGGCGTCATCTCTGTAGCAAAGCTCGACTGGTGCCGTTTTGGTCGTGACCTTTGGTTGCGGCCACGTCCTCTCAGCTGTTTTGCTCCGAAATACCGTAACCCGTCCCCATCTCAGCCGTATCATCGGTGATGCGAAGGGATGGAGGATGCCGTGACCCCGGGGAAACGGGTGCCCGTGTGGGTGACCAGAGGGGGAATTTGTTGGCCCCCTCCTCGCCGGTAGCACCCCCTTCCTCTTCTCTAGCTTTTCCCCCGAAAGCTCGGCAAGTTGAGATGTTTATAGACGGGCAGGGCGGCTGCCGGGGACGCGTCACAGAGCGTTTGAACGTTGTCCCCTCTGTTCTCCAAGCAAGCGCCTGCTTCTGTTTTACCTTCAGCCCGAAAACCCTTACTTGAGGAGCTTTCTGGACTTTGAGAGAGAGATATATATATGTTTTCTTTCTCCCCAGGCGCCTTTAGCCCAGCCGGAATCCCCGACAGCCTCCGCGGGCGACGATGCTCGTTCAGCTGCGGAGTCGGGAGAGTCGGACAAGGAATCGGTCTGCAGCAGTTCGGCAAGCAACGGTGGCAGCAGGGGTTGCAAGGACAAAGAGAAACCAAAGAAAGACCGAGAAAAGGATAAGGAAAAAGATAAAAAACGGGCAGACTCGGTTGCCAATAAGCTCGGGAGCTTCGGCAAGACTTTGGGGAGTAAGCTAAAAAAGAACATGGGCGGCTTGATGCACAGCAAAACCATCAAGGGAGGTGTGAGCAACGGGCAGGGAGATACCTTGGAGAAGAAGAAGAAGGGATCCTTGAAGTCAAGGAAAGGCAGCAAAGAGGAATCTTCCCAAGGAGATTTGTCAGCTCCTGTGGAGAAAACCTGCCCGGGTAAAGCAGCCCCCGAAAAGCCGTCGGACCCCTACAAATACAGCAACGACGTCCGGCTGAGCCTGAGCATCCTCCGCGCCGCCATGCAGGGAGAGCGCAAGTTCATCTTCGCCGGCCACCTTAAGACCAGCAACCGTCACCAGTACCAGGAGGAGATGATCCAGCGGTACCTTCTGGATGCCGAGGAACGTTTCATGGCCGAGCAGAAACAAAAGGAGGCGGAGAAGAAGGCGCTGGGGAGCGCCGGCGCTGCCAAGAAGCCGGAGCCGGAGGCGAACACCCACAAGGGCGAGGAAACGATGCTCAACCCCGCTTACCCCCAGCCTCCCCCTGCGTACACCACCCAGACCCCAGATCTGGCCGTAGGCGCTAAAATAGCAGCTTTTCCCTCCGGTTATTCGGGAGTTTTCACCTTTCCCAGACCCTCCATGGTCAACAGCATGGAAGGGTCGCATCCCCCCGGCTACCAAGACGGCAGACGGCAAGTAGCCGGGGGTTCCTGCAGCAGCCTTCCCCCCTACGCCACCTTACCCAGACACTGCACCCAGCAGCGGCCGA